GTGCATCGCTTCTAGTAACAAGTGCCTTACTAGTAGAAACAAGTGCCTTACTAGTAGAAACAAGAAGCTATTAGAAACAAGTGCCTTACTAGTAGTAACAATACGAATTTAATTAGAATTGTATTTACTAGCAAAGGAATCTACTAGGACCTTTTCACGCGCGCGTGCGCGGGGGTAGGAAGCTTGCATCGCTTCTAGTAACAAGTGCCTTACTAGTAGAAACAAGTGCCTTACTAGTAGAAACAAGAAGCTATTAGAAACAAGTGCCTTACTAGTAGTAACAATAAGAATTTAGCTAGAATTGTATTTACTAGCAAAGGAATCTACTAGGACCTTTTGGCGCGCGCGCGCGGGGTGGTAGGAAGCTACTAGGAACAAGTGCATCGCTTCTAGTAACAAGTGCCTTACTAGTAGCAACAAGAAGCTATTAGAAACAAGTGCATCGCTTCTAGTAACAAGTGCCTTACTAGTAGTAACAATATTCTTTCCGGGGACTGTCAGCCTGTAGACAGTGACTCAGTAGTGACTGAGTGTCTAGACTGGCTTAGCGCTACGGCTGTGATCAGACGGCCACATTGAGATCTTTTCTTCGTGACTTCATTTTTACGACGCTACTAAGAACAAAGGGCATCGCTACTAGGAGCAAGGACGCTACTAGTAGCTCCTGGCCATACTAGTAGGAACAAAGGAACAAAAAGCTACGAGTTGCATTTCCACCATGAGGATATCAAGCACGTGGGTGGCACTGCTACCATTGTTGTGAAGGTGCTGCTGCTCGGAGTTGTGGTTGCGACGTTTTGGAAAATAACAGTAGAAATAAAGCTATATAACAGAACCTAATAGCAATGGCCTCCAAACTACTAGCGATGGCCTACAACCCACTAGCGATGGCCTCCATTTCTCCGTTTCTCCGTAAGACTCCGGCGCCGCAGCTTTCGCGGGGGACGCCATGTCCCTGGAAAATCACTACAGAGTGATGGAACCTAAGTCAGCACCACAAGAGAGGGTCAGTTGAGGGTAGTCCTCAACTTTTCGAAACGAGCCTCGTCCATCTGACAACTCAAGCAATGCGCCCAAAACATGGTGGTGCGTGAAGTGGGCCGCACATACTGCGTGGACAAGGGCAGTCCTTCGAGCTTATGAATCCGGATGAGAAAAAGCCGGAACCACTTAATCCTATCCTGCAACTCGAACGAGACGGCCTCCTCTCGCGAGAGCCATTGCCAAGAGCAGAAGTTGCGGCTGGGTCGAATCCCTCCGCTCCCTGAGTACAAAACGAAATCAAGCAAAAGATATAGCCAAGGAATGCGCACAACCGGGGCAGTGGGGGACTGAATGCTTCGGGACCACTCAGGAAGGCAATCCCATCCTTGGCCAACAAGCTTGTGCGTGGTCGTTTGTGGCCGCTGTGGGAGCGGGGCTATAGTCGGCTCAACCAAGGGTAGCGGGAACGCTGTCTGGGGAGGATCATTGGCAGCAGCCGGCACGTCCGTGGTGACAGCGTCCTCGCTCACCTTGATCATGGTAGCATGGATTTGGTCTCTCAGGACTCGAGCAGCCTCAAGGTCGGCGACAGCTTGTGTCCAGGCGCGGTGGACCTCATGGGGTAAATCGTGCTCCACTGGGCGCCATGGTCGGCGCAGTCATTGCCCTTGAAAGCCCAAAGGTCGACCCAATGCACATAGGCTCTGCGTTGGTGGCTGGCTATCTTAATGACTCGGACTAAGGAGGGAGGCACGGTCCTGGCCAAAGCAATTAATTCATGCCACAGATCTTGGTCCTTCCGGTGGACGCGGCAAGTTGCAGGGTTATGGAGAGCTGCGGTGAGGGTGGCAACTACCTGGGCATTATCACACCAAACACGAAGAGGTCGATCTTGGGTGATCGCATAGCGCACTGCACTTGTGGCCGCCAGAATTTCAGCCCGCCCACTAGTCTGCCGTCGGCCTGGAACAAGGCCCTGAGCTACTGGCCACCACCGGTCAACATCAGACGGATCGGCTGCGATGAGGCTCCAGCCTGCTACTCTGGTAAATTTGCATGTAGGGTGAACACAGGAACCATCTATGAAAAGGTCAACGGCTCGAAAGGGGGCCGGATCAAACCAGCTGGTGAGAACCGGCTGCTGCATCAGCAGGCGTTGCAGTTCTCGGACGGATTGTGGCAGGCCCATCCACCCATGATAGGTGAGGCATTTGGGAAGTCCTCCCTCGATCATCTTAGTGGTGAGCCATGGACAAAGTCGAGACCTCTCGAAATGGCAGCACTCCCAGAATCGATGAAACTGTGAGCAGTACTTGCAGTTAAGGGTGTGGGCCTTCTTATTATGTGTTTGGGTGTCGGCAGTGAAAAAGGTGCCATTAAGTACCTTACGAAGGAGGCCAAGATTGCTTGGCGCAAACGCGGATGCCTTTCCAAGGTAAAGGAGGCACTTGTCCATTCCATGCCTTGGAATCTTTCCGTTTACTAGCACAACATTGCGCAAAGCGAAGTCGTTGGTGGACCTCCGAGTGACTAGCATGTAGGAGATCTAGAGGCTGTGCTTCATGGTCAAGGACCCAACCATTGCGCAGCCAGCTCCATCCGATTGCGTGCAGCCGTCAGAAGGACATGACTTGGGCCTGCCCGAGCCAGGAGCTCATTCCAATCGCACAGAAGCTGCTCAATCAAACCACTGACCTGGTCAGGGTTGGCATGACGTCGAAAAGCCTGCACTGTTTGCACCAAAAGGTGACAGCCCGGATCGGTCAAAGGGTGTTCCACCAGTGACAGGTGTACTATGGGGCTGATGCCTGGCGCATGAACCCGCAGCCCCCGGCACGCTCCAGTGCGCAGGCAACGAATGTGGGTGTCCCCTATGCTGGCTCCACGGTCAAGGCCTGTGGCCAGCCTTTGACTCGCAGCGCATAAACTTTTTGTCTGCAAGGCGCCAAGGATCTGGCAAGGGCATCCCACACCCGTGGCATCGATTGAAGGCGTCCCCTCAAAACATGGTTTGCGTTGCGGCGCCCGTATTCCATGTGCGCTTCAAGGTCACGGGCCGAGGATTGCAGTGGCTGGGCTTGCATCCTGGCACACTTCCTCTCTGCAGCATCATTGGACCAAAAGTAGGTCTTGGCTTGATCAAGTTGTAAATCCAACAAGTCGCAAAACTGTGTCATGTAGCCTAGGCCGATTTGCGCATCCTCGGCGGAGGAGGCAGTAATTTCGAGGTTATCGACATAGGACCACAGGCGGACATGTTGGTACCGGATTCGTATCCATCGCGAGAGGGCGATGTTACACATAAGCATGGCACTGCAGCTCAGTCCACAACCCTCAGCGAAGCCTGTAGAGGACGTTAAGGGGGGGCATATGGTACCTCGAATGCTGAATGCACGTTCCATCTGCCTAAGGGCGTTTGCATGCGCGAATGATTGGTTTTGGCAGGCCAAGGTGTAATCCTATGGCTAATGATGGCAGTCTAGGGAGGAGGTTGTACGCTTTAACAAGGTCAGCAAGGTCGGCGGCAGCTCTTCGAGGAGCAACTGTATGCTCAGCCACAGGTCAGTGCACGACTTGCCTGGGACGTTGCCCGTGACTTGTGTTCTGGGACGAATTGGCTTAGGTAGGCCAGAGTTTCACGGGCCCTGATTGGGGACCAGGTGCGGTAAACAATCGAGAAAACCGTCAAAGGTCGATACTGGCTAGCCTTCCAGGCCCCTGGGAGCTTTTCTAGGGCATGGATATGGCCAGTGACAACTTGTTGTGGCCAAAGTGCACGGCCCTGCTCAATATCGGTCGCAAAACTGGCTCGACATGGTTCATGAAAGGGCAAAAATGTCGTCTTTGGAGACGCCATCAGATTTGATGGGATGGCGGCCTTGGCCCTTTTCCTGCCGACAGCATGTTGCCAAGTGGCATACGCGATCGAATTGTATTGCATTTGTAGGGATGGCAATCCCGACAAAATCTACAATTGGCTCCCACCGGCTGTCAACGGCATTGGCGTGGCGGTCCCACCGCGCCATCCATTCAGTTTGGAAAGCATCATAAATTTGGTCAAGATCGGTGATCGGGTTTGTTTGGGTCAGAGTGTCCCCTTCGAACTGGTGACTTTGTAGTACAACTGTAGTACGCAGAGTAACCTGTGGAGGTGGAGGCTGAGAAGTCGCCAGTACAACTTTAGTACGCGGGGCAATCTGTGTGGAGCTGGAAGCTGAGAACTGGCAACTTTGTAGTACAACTTTAGTACGCGGATGAGTCATCTCTCGCGGCTGCTCTGGCGCGCCTGCAGCTGAGTCATCTCTCCCGGCCACCCGGCTCCCTTGAGAGGTTGACAAATTTTAGCTAATCTGCTTACTTAAAAGTGCTCATTTCGATTACTTTTCTTTCAGACCTAGACATTCGTGTTCTGAAGACCTCCAAACACGTGTTTTGAGAGGTTGACAAATTTTAGCTGATTAGCTTCGTGTCTAGACAGGCTATCACATCATAGTTAACGTCCAGCTCCAGTTAGCTTTAGTCTCAACAGCTCTAGCTCCAATTAGCTCT